ATATCTGCGTCACAGATGACCACTGATATAGTTCACTTGTTGTTATCAAAGTCCCTTCCTCTCGATAGTGACATTATTAAATGAGATTGTTTACTTGCATTAGTCACACGACGGTACCAATTCTGAAGTAGAAACTACATACGAGCCTCCATTAGCAACAGAGTTCACTTCTGCTTTTGTTGAGGTTCATGTTGCTTAATCTTTAGTTTTTTTAATGTTTAGTTATTTTTTGTTGTCCTTTCGTAGTTTTAATATTGGCCATGGTGTAGACTAGTCTTTAATTTAAAATACTCCATTCGGTCCTTACTGTTTTTTTTCCCATTTTCCTCTTTTTAGGTCACCTTTCCTAAAAGGAAATGTGAGCTTTTGCCATCCCTTGGCGTCCATCGTCCGTCCGGTGTAAACTATTTAAAACATCTTCTCCTCTGAAACTACTGAACCAATTTCAACCAAACTTAAGCTGAATGATCCTTAGGTTATCTAGTATAAAGTTTGTGTTTTATTTTCTGTTTCGTCAAAAAACATGATATAGATAAAAAAAACAACATAGGGGTAAAATGCAGTTTTTGGCTTATATTTCAAAAACTAAAGCATTTAGAGCAAATCTTTCAGAGATAAAAGTGTTTATTAGGTCAAGAACTAATTGCCCTGAAATTTTCAGACGAATCAGACAGCCAATTTTTGGGTTATCGCCCCTAAATTGATAATTTTAATGAAATTTTGCAGTTTTTGGTTATTATCTTGAATATTATCATAGATAAAGATAAACTGTAAACAGTGAAAATGTTCAGAAAAGGAAGATCTACAAATTAGTCAAATTGTCAATAATTGTCAATTGAGCCATTAAGAAGTTGTTGCCCTTTAAAGGCAATTTTACACAATTTGTTCATCATGATTGTTAACTTTAAAAAATCTTCTCCTCTAGAACTACTGAAGCAATGTCAGCTAAACTTACGCTGAATGATCCTTAGGGTATCTAGTATAAAGTTTGTGTTTTATATTATGTTTCATAAAAAACAAGGCTGTCATGGCTAAAAATAGAACATAGGAGTAAAAAGTGGTTTTCTCTACCTGCCCTGAAATACAGTTCACCTTCTTGCTCCCTACCGCCTCGGAGTGCCAGCTTGGGCGATGCTTGTGTACGACTGTTCTCCAGTCAAAAGCACCAGGGATACAAGAAACTTATACAAACTTCATATCTTGTGAATACAAACCCTCTGAAATTTATTATTAAAATGTCATGCCTATAATACAAGAGAACCATGATGTTTTCAATCTGCTCTGTCCATCTGTCCAACAGTCATAACATTAACATTTTTTTGTCAATGTACTTAATGATGAGTAGTTACATATTGTCTCTCTTTAACTTAAAACTTGTACATCATGTACATGTATTCGAATGATTAGATCTTTCTTATTACGGACTTGCAGACTGCTAGTTTTGTCTAAGTTATCTCCCTGGTCAGTCAGTGTACACTTGGAACAAGCAGAATTTTTTTCCCCAACAAAACCATAAATTAGAGTATTCCGAAGAAAATCGTAAAACGCCCCACCTTTTGGCTTCATTTGTACATTTGAAACCTGTATGAAATTATTCGAAGTTTTATTTATAAAATATTTGGAGGTTGTTTAATTCTTCTGTTGACGCATAAATCTTACAACGGTTACGAAGGGATTCCACTTTGTCGCTCGGATCACTCGATCTTTATCCGTAGGCAGCGGAGGAAAGTCATGATGTCTTCAATTGTCACACCTACTGAAAAGATAATCAACTCTAGACAAAATCATCTAAATTATGGATGCATCCTATTCGCTGAAAAGATTGAATTGGTGAGCCTAATAAAACTTTTGACCCAAATTTCATAGTTGACTAAGCATAAAATGTGATATTTTGAACACAGTACATTCCCAGGTTAAAAGTTTATGATCATGTACATCAAAGTTTATCATGAAACGATATATTTGGCATAGTACCAGTTTTGACTTATTACAATAAACAAAGAATGGAAACTTGAAATGTGTCAAAGAGACAACAACCTGAAAATAAAACGGAAAATAGCTTAAGGCAACCAATGCGCCTTCAACATAATCCATAATCCAACACGCAGAAGCAGGATTGATCAGGGCCTTATTCATTGATGTATACTAGTACAAAAACAAATGGACGTCGCTACACTTTAAAACAGATATGAACCAATAAAATAAATGTGTGTTCTTATGTTGTGCTGTAACACCACAGTCCCATGTTAAAGACAAGGTTTGGATACAGTACATAAATTTTATCCCTCCTTGCACAACTCAAAATTCAATAATTTTAGTGGTTGTCATTTGTTGCTGTGTTTCATATTTGCTTTTCGTTTATTGTTTTTAGCTCACCTTTCCTAACTGCCATGCAATACTATCAGAATGCTGGATACTATCCACACTGGTTTGTGTCCACACTTATTAATTATACATTAAAAACTTAGAAGCAAAAGACTTTGATGAAAATTTAAATAAAAAAAACTACAGGTGAGTGATTCAAGCCCTTGAGAGCCTCTTGTTTCTAATTACATCATCTAGCTCCTGCCTGCTTGAAACATGTTCTTTCCCTCAGTATCCTTTCCATAATTATTTCAACATTCCAGCAACACGTGTATATGGAATATGCATCTCCCTGTTTATAAGACATCACAGAACTTGCGTTTTCAATTTTACATTCATTTTGACAGCTGCTGACAATGCAGCTACCGAAACAAGGGTTTGAAATGGTAAAATGGAAGTCAACTCTTTTACGGAATTGTTTAAATGTAAACAAACTCATCATATACACCAGGATTAAAAGGTGTAATGACCCCTCAACGTACACTTATCTTTATTTGCTCATACATTTTACAAGGTTTCCATTATGCATCAAGTTCAGACAAAAAATGAAAACAACACTAATATAAATTTTTACATGACAACTTATTTGTTGAATTTGGAGGTAGACCTTTTCAACAAATTGTCGGCATTCCTATGGGAACGAACTCTCCTTGCCAACCTCTTCTTATTTTCGTACGAGTCGGAGTTCCTTCAGACACTTGTCAAAAACAAGAAAATCAAAGAAGCCAGATCATTTAATTTCTCAATCAGATATATTGATGATGTTCTTTCCATTAACAATCCAAACTTTTCCGATTGGCTTTCTCTACCTCATATTTATACTTATACCTCGAATTTGATATAAGCGGTCATCTCAGTACCAGAATCCATGACAAACGAGGCGATTTTAATTTTGAAATTATGAATTTTCCCCACCTTAGTCATGTTAGTAGCGATATACCAACTTCACCTGCATCTGGGATATACATTTCCCAACTCATTCGGTATTCAAGAGCTTGCAGCTGCTACGCAGACTTTATAAAACGTCACCAGTTTCTGAGCAGAAAGTTGATGAGCCAATGTTATGTCAAAGAACGTCTCGTCCTTTTTCTAAAAAAGTTCATTGGAACATACCAAAACCTTGTTGATAAACATTCCGTATCAACTTCACAAATAATACATGATGGTCTTGAAGTATAGATTCTAGGTACTGACTTTGTTTAATTGCGTGGTCTTTTTTCGGTACATATACATTCCTCCATTGTGTTATTGTGCTATTGTCAATTTTGTATTCTTGTCTTTCATGATTGCTTTTGTACTTTGTTTATAGAGTGTCTATATGCTATTTTAATTTTCTTTGTTGAAATAGTTATTTATTTTTATAGTGATTAAGATTATATTACAATGTTGACAGTTGTACCCCAATTTTTAACATTTTTATCTATTATGTCTGTTTTGCTCACACATTGTGATGTCAATATAATGGACTTCCATGCGACCGTCATACAAGTGAGAGGTTTAGCTAGCTATGAAACCAGGTTTAATCCATCATTTTCTACATAAGGAAACACCTGTACCAAGTCAGGAATATGACAGTTGTTTTCCATTCGTTTGATGTGTTTAAACTTTTGATTTTGCCATTTAATTAAAAAACTTTCTATTTTGAATTTCCCTTGGAGTTCGGTATTTTTGTTATTTTACTTTTTCGTGCGTTCAAAGCGTTTTTCTGGATTAACCTTCATCAGGAACTTTCAGAGCCGAATATTTGAAAACCAATATAGCGTAAGAACCGATACAATTGAAGAGTTATTCCTCCAAACAGTACCTGAAAGTAATAGCCAAATCCATTTAAGGCCAACTTTGCCATAAGGGAGTTGAAAGCTTAGTTTTTTAATAGTTTATAAATTTATAAACGGACAATTTAATGTCTGTTATATTTAATTACTGATATCGTACTCGTTTCGATTTATGTCTGGTGATTTATGTCAATTTACAACAAATACTTCTATCCACTGTAAGCTGACTATTTAGGTAGTGATTTTATAACTGTAGAGGAACTTATAACAAATTTTCGTATTATGTAATGTTAATAAAGATATTTACTTTTCCTTAGTGATCAGAAGTTATGGTCGTTATTAGGTTCGGGCGTCACAAGTTTTGTTTTCTTACTGAAGGCTGTTTATGGTAACAGGTATTTTGCGCAAAAAAGAAGCATCAATAAACAAATCAGAGCTAAATATCTAATCATAACATATGTGTTTCTCGTTCTCCCATGCACAAGGCTACCTTTTCCCCCAATTAAAGTTGCAGTTTAAAAAAAATCTGTATTCAGTTTTTCTCAAAGCAACACCAGTATACCGATGTTAAAATCTCATAAATCAATTTAAAAGACAAAAACTGAGGGATTTGAAAAGAATTTATTTACTAACAACACATATAGTAAGTATTTTCTAAATCGTGTAAAAATGTAGTATGAACATACTAAGAGCTAATTAAAAATGTATATGTATCCGGGATCTTTAAAACATGTAAAGATTATTTATTTAAACCCGAATGCCAATAATATGAACCGAATCGAGCATAGCGAACATATGAGTTCATCTATTCATAATAACAGTATCTTTAATAAAGCCAGTGTGTTAGCCAGTCACAGTTTATTTACAGTTAAACGTTATGTTGATAAAGTCGATGACAGGTAAGCAATGTTGTCATTGTTAAATGTATTACCTGCATTTTTACGTTTGAAGACCACTATCATATTTGCATATCTAAATTAAAGACTGGAAGAAAAAAAAACTATATCAACTAGATGCATGTTAAACACAGTTCAAAATATGCTTATCACTTTGATAGTTGCTACAAAACTTTAATTTAACTTAGATATTTTGGGTTATTTGTAAACACTACTGTATTTAGATAAATAAATATATATAAAATATCTGTTATAAAAGACAAGGTACAGATGAAAAGTAAATCAATATTTGTACCAAACATTCTCATATGCTGACTTTCTTATTGTTCCAGGATCGAACAAAGCAATATTTAATTTAAATACGAGGAACTTCAATGGATATACTTTTAATGATATATTTTTACAGCAGGTCTTCTTAAACTCCCGGAGCACATTAAATCATTCCGACTTTTTGGTTTAGTTTCCTGTTGTTCAGTCTTTATGAAAATAAGGAGATGTTGTTTGATTTCCAATGACACAGCTATCCATTAAAGTTCAAATAAAGTGTATGTACGCAATTATAGGCAATAATACGGCCTTCAACAAGAAAAAAAACCCCAAATAGTTTAATGTGTTGTGTTTTGTAGACTGTTGTATGTCTTTTCATCGTTTTTCGATTTTGCCATGGCGTTGATAGTTTATCTTTGACTTATGCGTTCGAATATCCTTTGGTATCTTTCTTCCCTCATCTGCAGTTTAAATAATCTCTTTTCCTGAAGCCTGTATAAAGATAAGGCAATTTGGTATGACTTTAACTGAGGAAACTGTCTGTTAAAGGTAACAGTAGATTTTAATGAACGTATTATATGTATCGCCAGTAAACTACTAGGTCACGATTTCCGTTAACAAGGTTACTGAAAACCTTTACTTTAGTGTCCAAAAGATATAAAGATTTGCAAATATGACAGTAGAGCTTTGTGTCATGTGACTTTGTTTCACTACGAATGTGGATCGACTGACTACTTTGGACGTAATTACAACTTTTGCGCACACTGTTTATTGACTGTCTTTCTCCGATGTTATTGCAAGTGTTATGCCGACAACTGGCAATACACTGCGATGTAATTACAAGTGTGTAACCAGCTATATTGATTAAACAATAAAAAAATGTTCATTGGAGAAAAGATGTGAAATTACTTAAATTTTGGATCCTTGCTCTCCAACGTTTGAAACATTTAAAAGATTATAAATTTATTTCTAGCACCTCTGGCAATATATCAATAAAAAGTTAATTTAAACCAAAGTTTTAGCAGAATCGATTCTATGCGGATTGTTTACCTTGCTTATACAAAACAACAGGATTTTCTTTTACTTTGTAATTATAAAAAGAGGTAGAATAGATAAAAAAAAATTAACAGTAAAATTCCATTTTTTTCTGTTGAATTCCCTCGTTTAAGCTACATGTATATAATCATTCGCTTTTTATTGATAACAGTATGACCAGTAAACCCCCCAGAATGATAACAAAATCATAATTTTTCCGTATGTTTTGTATTTTTACATTGAAGAGTGCCAAGCGAAATGTGTTTGTAAATTTGATTTCTTTTTTACTTTGAAAAACCATTTTAATTTGGTTTGTAATATATACCTTCTCAATTTTCTGTCGATTTCATTGACTACAAGCGTTACATTGAATTTAAATACTAGCAAATTTACGCTAGAAGGACTTTAGAAGCAATCTCGAATATCGGTCTAGTATAAGCATTTGCCAGCGGGGAAAAGGTCGGGTTCTAACTCCATCCTCCAACACAAAAGAGAAACACATCGTAAAAAGTCTTTAAATTACACGCATCATAGCAACAAATATTCTAATTACAGGATACTAAGCAATGTTTTTCTTCTATTCAACAGATATCTATGCTTTGTGATGAGAATCCGACCAATCAGAAAGAAGTATATATTTAGCCTGATTCTTCTAGCTTTGTTTTCACTTATACTGGTCATACAGCAGTTACCAAGTAAGTTTAGAAATACTTTTTAATATCGAAAAACTGATTGCATTTGAATACACATCTTTAATTTCAGAATGTGATAAATATAACGATTACAGAAGAAAAGTATTAAGAGTTATTACTGCGAGAGACCATCGACGTTTGAATATTTATCTGTGAGAAATATGAAAGAGCTAAACAACCTGAGAAAATAGTTACAATCGGCAGGAAAAGCACGTAATGATTAATTACTGAAATGTTTTTGTTTGTTAAGTATGTTTGCCTGTTATACTCCGCTTCATTCATTTATTATTTGAAAAACTTGTGTATATATGTTATATTATGCTCATTGAATATTTGTATTGTGTTAATCAAATAAGCTGTATTTGCTTACGGAAATGTATTATTATTATTGAAATGCTTGACCCTTAAAGAAGACACACATTTGACGTATATTTTGTGTGAATCACCTGTTCAGAACACATAACTCATCATATATACCAGGATTAAAAATGTGTACGCCAGACGCGCATTTCGTCTAGAAAAGACCCATCTGTGACGCTCGAATCATAAAAGTTTAAAAGGCCAAATATAATAAAAAGTTGATGAGAGCTGCGAACCCCGATAATATTAATATGATTTTCTGTTTAAATGGTGGATGCATTTGCTACAATTAAATTAAGGGAAGAAACAACAATAACAGATGTATCTGTTTTAAGGAAACAGGTACAACGGTGTGAAAAGATACAATACGATGTAATAAATCTGACAATTCCAGAGGCAAAAAGAAAAAGAGAAACACAATTGCCGAATGATCAGAAGTTATGGTCATTATCAGGATCGGGTATCACAAGTTTTATTTTCGTTCTGGGTTACCGGTGTTTCCGGTGTTTCGCGTAATAAAGTAGCACCAATAAACAAATCAGAGATAAATATCGAATCATAGCATATGTGTTTCTCGTTCTCCCATGCACAGGGCTACCTTTCGTCCTCTATAGTTACAGTTTAAAAAAATCTGTATTCATTTTTTCTCAAGGCAACACCACAGTAGTTTACCGGTATTTGTTGGTTTAATTGGTGGATTCATTTATTACAATCACATTAAGGGAAGAAACAACACTAACAGATGTATCTGTTTTAAGGAAATAGGTACAACGGTGTAAAAAGATACAATAAGATGTTATAAATCTGACAATTCCAGAGGTAAAAGGAAAAAAAACCTATAAACGACACATAAAAGTACTACAAAACACAACATAGAAAACTTTATATTGTGAAATACAAACCATTAAAGATATAGTACTTTGTAAATCAGATGGTCGATTAAGTATGAGTCAGTACAGTGGACATTGTTTCTGGCAGCTAATGCTTAAATTGATGGCATTCCATTCATTGTACATGTTGTATGTTTTTCAGGCATTGAAAGCGAAAATAGGAATTCTGACATATTTGACATTCAACAAAAACTTTTTACCACTTACGGTTCTCTTAAAACAACAAGAGACTTAATTCAAAAAAGAGATACTGAACGTGTACCCAAAATATTGCAAGAAGTAAAATCTAACAAGTCTGCATCAATAGTAAAAGTCAAACAACGAGGACTATCGCAAGGAATAATCAAACGTGGTGGGCGACGTTTTATTAGATCCGGTGGTTCACTAAGTTTAGATTTAAGAAGACAGCCCGCCATTTTCGCTGACGAACTAGATCCAACAAAAGATTGGTGGAAGGCATTTATAGAACTTGCAGAGTATTTATTATTTTTAAAAGAAAAAAAACTTTAGCTCCAATTTTGTTTGCAAAAGGATACAGGCATGTTGATCTCGAGGTTACAGGTGTAAAATTGAATAGTTTGAATCAGAAAATTGCTTGCGAAACGCAGCAAATTTGGCGTTTCTTGTGTTGATAAAACAAAACAAGGACACACCTCGCCCCAAAATATAGAAAAGTCAAACAACGAGGACTATCGCAAGGAATAATCAAACGTGGTGGGCGACGTTTTATTAGATCCGGTGGTTCACTAAGTTTAGATTTAAGAAGACAGCCCGCCATTTTCGCTGACGAACTAGATCCAACAAAAGATTGGTGGAAGGCATTTATAGAACTTGCAGAGTATTTATTATTTTTAAAAGAAAAAAAACTTTAGCTCCAATTTTGTTTGCAAAAGGATACAGGCATGTTGATCTCGAGGTTACAGGTGTAAAATTGAATAGTTTGAATCAGAAAATTGCTTGCGAAACGCAGCAAATTTGGCGTTTCTTGTGTTGATAAAACAAAACAAGGACACACCTCGCCCCAAAATATAGGAAAAGAAAAGAAAAAGAAAATAACATTAAATTATCACTGGATTGTCTTTCTTTCTGTTATATATAGCCTTACCTGACTACATCTGAAATGATATCATGCTTATCAACAAAATTAATTTACAATGCTCCGCATAAGCATCTTTCACATACTTCTAAATAGGACGCACACAAACTTGTGTTTTGTACTGATAACAATGAGTACTAGTAACAGTTATTCTTATTTTCTTCTATATTTAACTGGAATATTTCAGAACTCTTATTTATTCTGTCTGTAAATGTATCTTCCTTATCGAGTTGAGTTGGTAGTTTTCAATTAATCTTGTGGCTTGCCCATAATCACATAAAATTTGAAAAATTGAATTATATATTTCAGTGATCTGAAAGCTGTTCAAAAGGATTTTCGCTGTTCTTATATGCAGCCACGTGGTAACTGGTGGGATTGCAACTCATATCCATATAAAATATTTGTAAATAGACCGTGCTTAGTTTATTCTTTTGGGTATGTTGAGTAGAAATATATATTTAGAAAAAAATCAGTGTGGACTAAAACATTTAAAAGGAATACCACATCAATATCTCCCCCCGACGAACAAAACTTATCAGTAAGATATGTAGATTAGTTAGCAATCAGGAAACATTAAAATTTACAACACGAGATAGAAAACATAGCACATGCGTATAAAGTGTAAGAATATCAATAGTCATAGGCAAGATACAGACTCATTTGATATTTTGTATAGAGGGCGGACCAGTTTCGTTTTGTATCTGCATCACCTTTTTACAAATCGGAATATTTAACAACATTAACGGTACCAATTTTATTGCACAAGATTCACATTTTGACACTTAATGTTTCTTCAGTGATGCTCGAGGACAAAAAATATTTGAAAAACCGAGACTTATAAAAACATTGAGGCGCTGATTAAACCAAAGAAGGACATAAAGTGTTATCAAATCTGGTCAAGGAACTTTACATAAGGGAGTTATATTTCGTTGTTTAAAAAAAAAATCAAAATTTATTAAAAGCCTATTTCATCAAACAATATCCGTATTTTCATGCCAGTACCAAAGCATTGGCTACTGGGTGGTGATACTCTCGGGGACGTACAGTTCATCAGCAGAGGTATCGACGCAGTGGTAGTATTAACATTAATTGTACCAGGTGTATAGCGCACCACAACTCTCATTATATTGTATCTATTGCTCAATACATGTTTGCGCAATACATGAACAAGATAACACAAATTTCCAAAAAGTATTTGACAGTACAACAGACCATATTAACAACCATCAAAAGACCCCCTCCCCCCCGGAGAACCGTACAAAGACAAATTACAGCAGACAATGGAATATATGTTTTGGTATATGTATGGTAAAAATATATCATAAAGGAATATAAAGGGTCATGACGACTGTGGATATTAAATTTTATAACAAATTCACAGCATTAAAATTTCATTAATTCATATATGTGTTTTTACAAATATTTTTTGCACACAAAATAATATTTTCTCCTGAACATATACAAATGAAGAGATTTCCGAACTTCTTAAAAAAAACCCATATATAGTTGTTAGAACTAATAGTTTTAATATACTGTCTTGATGCAAATACGCGATAATAATAATGCATAACAACAGAAACAACAGATTGCAGATTTTTCACATAATGTAATAAAGCATATTCATACAATAGAAAATACTGCTATCAAACACTCCTCTGTATGTACCTTCACATGGAAAGCTGAACCCCAAACATTTATAGACAAGGATGTATGAACTACCTGAATACCTATTTTTCATTTTATTTTGCATTTTAGAATTGGAAACGACTTTCGGTTTGACGATGCAATGGCAACACTTGGATGTGAGGTTCATTCGTTTGATCCAAGGTAGTTGTATGCTAAAAGTTGGTTACTTTTTTAACCAAAATTGTAGCCATTTTTATAGTTTTTAAAGCTTTGAAATAGAAACTACTGACATCGGAAATTCGGTTATGTCTATATTTTAGTTCAACAGCCTGAATACTTGTTCCATGTCAAAGATATATTCCAAAAACAAATTTGCAGATCTGTATATCATTCATATACGATATCGAAAATTTTTATCTAATAATAGCAGAGAACCATTTCAAAATATTCAAATCATAGAACTAGTCTTATCACGAAAGGGCAATTAAAAAACAAATAAAAACAGTTATTGAGCATCGTAATGTTTAGAGTGTTAAATGACGAACAGTATTGCAGTCTTTGATATCTTTTGCCTCTCTTTGACATTCTTTTTACTTGAACTCAACAATAAGGATCACAGCTAATTATTTAAGGAATGACTGTAATATTTTTTCTGTCTATGAAGAAATAACATCAAAAATGTGGTGCACACTGAATAACCCGCGTAGCGGGTTATTTTAAAGTGTGCACCACATTTTTAAAGTTATTTCGAATAGACAGAAAAAAAATTACAGTCATTTCTTATAATTTAATTCTAAATTCCATTTTAAACCGGAGTAAACCATGAAAAAACGTTGATGACGTCACGGTCACATGACAAAATTATGTCTATAAGCTGATAAACAAAACAACGTCAGCCAATCAGAAAACGCGTTATATCCAAAATTAAATTATATGAGAATATTACAAATAAAGCTGATATGATCAATGCATAGAAAATTTGGGAGATTAACTTGGGCGCTTTGTGGTCTTAAATACCTACAACACACTCAAAATGTATTTCACAAAAATTCATAATGTATAGTTCTTTGTGTAAAATGAAATTAAGAAGCTTTAACACGTACGAAAGATTTAGAATACATATATCAGGACGACGCGAATGCTGAAAATTTCCACGATTTGTGATACTGTTAAAGATAAGTCATCAAAAACGAAACAGACACACGATATGTTACTAAACATTATGATTTTTAAACAATAATATTTAACCATAGCGGGAAAAGTGAGGATAAATGATATATTTGGATGTGATGTAAGGACGAATTGCGGTACATGCGTAACACTTTATGACTCGGTCAATACATGGATTGGCATGGACAAGAACATAAAAATGGCCTTTAACGAAAAATCAGATAGTTTATCATTGCCACTGAGACAACCATTCACTATAGTCCAAATAGTGTGGATGTAAGCAGCTATACTTTAGGTCACCGTACGAGATTGACAAATGAGCAAATCCTTTACCGTATAGTCAGCCATAAAAGGCCTCGACATGACAAAATATACAACAATTAAAAAAAAAAAGATTTACAATTAAAAACTTATATTTGTCAATAAATTATGATTGCAAAGTAAAATGTCAATGCTACTGGACTGTAGAGTAAATTATACACTGAAGCATATTCCACTATAGACGTCTTTTTGATTTTGGTTTTGTTGTTCAATTGCTTAATCTTTAGTTTCTGAAACATTTCTTTTTATTCAAATCCAATCAGTAAAATTCATAATGCGACAATAATTTCAGTATGAATGTTAGTGAACATACAAGAGAAAGTGGTGTAGTTTTTCACACGTTTGGAATAGGAAGTCATAACGATGATTTATTTACTCCGAGGACAGACGAATTTACAAGAAAAGAACAAAAAAGCACATGGGAGCTTAAAAAACTGTCAACAATCCTTTCAAACCTGGATCATCAAAATGTAAGCATACAACTTCACAGTAATCAACTATTAACAGGTCAACTGGAAAAATTACGAAATTAACCTTATCCTTGCAATGTATTGTATCAATGCTATTTTGTATATATTGCTTATATGATAAATAGAAGAGAAAGAACGAACAGACATATTTTTGTACACGTACATAAAACCTTGAATCGGGCAAAACGAACTCCACAAAAAAACCGTTTTGAAAAAACGGGGGGGGGGGGGGGGGGGGGGGGTTGATTTCCATAAATTTTACTCGCCGTGTTACTCATGTTAAAATATGTTGATGAGTCATTTCAGTTGACTACGCACCATACAACGGCACATTGGTAAATTGGCTAATACAATACAAAATTCGTTTGAAATCGGTTAATCATATACATTTGTTTATTCAAACATATACATGGATATAGTTTCTTTCATATTATAGTGAACACAACAAGTATCAACTGTTAGTTACAATATATAATTTATTTGAAAAAATTGTATGCTTTCTATGAGCTATTTTCATCATCAGTTGACGTCCGGCGTCGTCGTGAACTTTTAAAACAATTTTTCTCCTTTGCAACCCCTAGGCCAATATCAGCCAAACTTTTAAAGAAAGAGCGTCATGGTATTTAGTATAAGATTTATGGTTTTATTTTTTTATTGTTTTTTACAATTAACCAACATGTCAGCCATTGCTTAAATAAAACACAAGGGTACGTTGAATTACTGGTGTAATATTTGAAAACAATGATAGAAAGCGAAAAATTTAATTTAAAAGGTTTAATCATTATCTTCAAAATAATTAGAAATAGACAGAAAATGTGAACAACAAAAAACATCAGCTATATATGATCTAAAAAAAAAGCTAAATAATTGATATCATCAATTGACTCCTTTTATGAGATATTGGTCCGAAATGAGAACTTTGAAAACTTTTTATGTTTGTTCTTATCAACTTGAAAAGTATGATATATATAGATTATAACATGGCATTTTTCATATCAGACCCCTTATTAGCCCTAGGTCATGATATCAGCCCGAGAGCCGACAGGCTCGAGGGATGATTTTGACCATGGGCTGATTAGGGGTCTGATATGAAAAATGACATGTTATGTTCTTTTTATCATATACTTCAACAGAGGACATACAGACATGAACCATTTTTAAAACTTTGAAAAATGCATTTATTGTATTAATTTTTTTGCATTTTTGAAAATACATTTTCCTGATTCCTAATATTTTTTTTTAATTTTTATCCAACTTAGTTATGTTTTTCACAAAAAAAACGTGTCATTAAGGTGTATTTTCCGGAATTTGCCGAATGACGTCGAAATGCCATGCGATAACGTTACAGAAAGTCATGCGACAATAACCGGAAGCAGTTGATTTAAACCGGAAGCAGTTGATAACAAAAGTCATATCACACGGCTAAGACAATTCTTCAAATTTAATGAATAAACATATGAAAAAAAATAGTTTTATCATGGGGTACAATTATACCAATATTTTCTATAAGTATATGATAAATAGATTCTATACCGACAAGAATGATCAGTAATAAAAGATATACACAATGCAAATGTGACAGAAAAAGAGTGGCGGCAGATACAGACAGGGTATTAAACTTACATGAGCAACACGAAGGTTGCCACATGTGGAACAGAATCAGCTTACTATTCAATAGCACCTGAGACCACCCCGTTTTTTAGTGAAGTTCGTGTTGCTCATTTTTTGTTTTCTATGTTGTGTTTTGTATACTTTTGTTTGTATTTTGATCGTTTTTCGTTTTTTGCCATGGAATTGTCAGTTCTTATTCGATTTTTAAGTTTGAATACGCTTTAGTATTTTTTGCCTCTCTTTTAATAGGTTCCTTGTAAGCAGCATCCCTCTATAATGAAATCATGAAAGGAAATGCCAGCTCTGGAATATCTTATCAACTAGGGGAAACATACTCCATATGTAGGCGTTGCTTGCATTTTGTTACATTGAAATGCAAAATTCTCAATTGTAGTAAAAAGTAAAATAACAAAAATATCGAACTCCGAGGAAAATTCAAAACGGAAAGTCCCAAATCAACAGCTCAAACACATCAAACGAATGGATAACAACGGTCATATTCCTGACTTGGTACAGGCATTTTCTTATGTAGAAAATGGTGGATTGAACCTGGTTTTTTAGCTAGCTAAACCTCTCACTTGTATGACAGTCGCATAAAATTCCATTATATTGACAACAATGTGTGAGTCTCAACCGACCCTCATTGTATTTTTTTTTTTTACTTGTTACATATTGCCAACTCTCATTTCTTTTCCTTTTTTTATTTGCTGATTCTCATTTTTCTTTTGTTTTAATGTTTTGCCGATTTTCATTATTTCTTTCTTTTTACAACTCGTTGATTCTCATTTGTTATTCTTTTTACAACTCGTTGATTCTCAGTTTTTTTTTTTTTAATTCTTCCTGATTCTACTTTTTCCTTTCATTTTACACCAACTCTCATTTCTTTTCCTTTTTTTTATTTGCTGATTCTCATTTTTCTTTTGTTTAAATGTTTTGCCGATTTTCATTATTTCTTTCTTTTTACAACTCGTTGATTCTCATTTGTTTTTCTTTTTACAACTCGGTGATCCTCAATTTATTTCTTTTAAAGTTGTTTTCTATTTATATATTGATGATTCTCATTTTTTACCTTCAGATGACTCTAGACATTCTTAAACTGGACATTGAAGGTAATGAGTGGGATGTATTAGAAAACATTATACAGGAAGATCTTCTTTTCAAGATAAAGCAATTAGAGGTCGAATACCACATTTTCCCAGATTTCCCAAAGAGAGAGAGAAGTACGTAAATCTGCTTAACACTTACCAGTCTTTGTGGAAGCTTAATTTCAGACGATATTACAAATTCGTCAATCATTTTACAACGAAGGAAAATATTGCACATTTGCAAACAAATGTCGCATACGTTAATGGCTATTAAACAACTGATTGTTACTTCACTACACATCTCTTATGAAGGCTTGAGATGAGCTGTCTAATTCAGTTTGGTAGATTTCAGACATATTAAACAGGTACAAAATGTATTTGAGTGGAATCAGTTAACTACATCTTGAGATCTGTAGATTTACTTTAAAATTAAATGATTGAGTAGAATAGAAATGCGTAGACATTAAGTACATTCGGTCAGACATTATTAAGATTATAGTTTCACTGTAGTTACATTGTAAAGAAAAACAAAAAATGGTAAGATGCCTATGAAAATTGGATAGCAGAGAAAAATGTGGTCGTTACTATAGAAACTATTCTGACTATCCACTTCTAGTGTAATTTTACTTCAACAGATGCTCATTTCGACAATTAATGTCTTTTCAGTAATGCTTGAGGCCAAAATATAAAACAATCCAAAAGGTAGTTCAAACATTGAAAAGCTGAGCAAACCAAAAAGGACCTAAAGTATAGGCTAATCCGATAGGAATCAGAGCCTTGCATGAGGAATTTGTTAAAACTACTAAAAAAACTACTGTTTTATTATATATGATAAGCATGAGTGTGATTATTCTGCTCATCCTTGGTGCCATATTTGCAAATAAAAATATTTGTTTCGTAAAAATTGTTGTTTCAGTATTTCTACTTGTTATTGACTTGTGAAAGCTTGAAAGAATGTCATTAATTTGTGAAAGCTTGGCAGAGTTTTTTTTAAACTGACATAGCTGGTACGAATACAGTCCACTGCAACGATTTCGAGCAATGGACGCCCCACTTCTTTCGATACATTGACATATTATGTCTTATTTAGGGTGTAGAGTCAAGCAGGAAGTGACTGTCCGCTAGATACAAATATCGCTTACACTGTTTAACTAGTCATTTTTTAAGACTAAAAACCGAACCATTTCTTTGCAGTAGCTGCGATATATGGCAAGCTGACAAGAGCAGACCGGTGTACTCGAAAACTTAGAATGTGAAAAATAAGTATATTTTGGGAAATTGTAACATGCTAAGGACTTTGTGGAACACTCCAAAAATTGGTGAACCGAAAGATCCTTAGATTTTGAATGTACATGTTTTCCCCCAATTTTTGTTATCAATATGCAGCACAGATTGGCATTTTTTAATTTTCAGTTTCACAAGCTTTTAATGCAATTATCTCGATAAATACTAAACACAAAACATCGTGTATTTGCATGTATTATTCTTATAACACAGTTTAACACATGATTTCTTTAAAATGTTCAATTATTATTTAGAAATAACTTTTGATCAGTATTGTCACCGGCATTGTATTATTATTGATTTTCTCGGCTCTATCATAAGAAAAGTGATTTTTCTTTTGTTTTCGTTCACTGGATATCCCACTGTACTGATGCTTAATCAAATGGTTTTAAAATTATATGTGGAAAACTTGATAACATAATAACAAAAGCACATGTTTGACGCATAATATTTTACGTCTTTGTGTACGCCAGAAGAACAGTAACTTAAATGTCTGTTATGCAATATATAAATGACACAATTCGCGTATATAAAAAATATGTATCAAAAATAAAATCAAATTATTAATAATTGCAATTCACACGTAAGTACAAAATGGTAAATATAAATAAATATCACAATCTTTGATAAATGACTATGTCCGTGACGTCAGTGAAAAGGACGTTTTCCGCTTCCGTTATATGTATGGAAACCTAATTTTTACTCAGATATAAGAGAAAAACATTTTAACTTTATTGATGCTTTGAATAACTCTTTAAATTGTTTTAATTCTGATGACAAGTTTGACTTTATTATGAACTGTGATAATATTCAAGTTTTATTAGCAAAGACATTGCATCCTATGTTTAAACTTAGGAAGATGAATTTATTTGTAAATTTTTAATCTTTTTTTAATGTATAAATGAATTTTAACGATTATCTAAAATAGTAACATATGAAAACTAATTTTATTATCTAAATATTCATTTTACATTATAGCATATATTTTTTTATTTTGAAAAGGATGAACGTGTCCCATATGTCTTAAAGGACGAGATCCTGGTCTTAAGGATTTTTATATTGCGTATGATAATGTATATCAATCATTTCTAACCAGCTGCATTCTTGGTAACTATAGAAACATCAGATGTAAGGTTTTCCTTAGTTCCTGTTAGGTGATTTGCCGCATAGGGCCACACCAATTTAATTTCTTGTTCTACGGATTTTTCCACTCCAGAAATTGTTGCGAGCGAGCGATTTGAAAATTTAAATAAAAAAAAGATTATTTTCAAATTTTTGAGGCGAAGCTTGAAAAGTAAAGGCGAGCGATTATACTTTTTTTTTGTAAAAATAAAATCATAGGTTCTGATCAAAATAAGATGGTAATGAAACTTGAATTAACACTTGTACTTAGACATTTCTTTAATTTATCAACTGCTGAAGTGGTTTGTTTTTCCTGTTCACCAAGACATGTAATGCTCACTTTTAATTGCAGCATATTTATGACTTCTTGTATTACTGTTACTTTCTGAGGACATCAGATCTTGAACTGAATAATTGAATAATTACTTCAACTACCTTAAATAGTCTCCTTTGAATTGTCATAGATGTCTTTTCTCCCTTACCGGACATGACTTATAACTAGCAACACGGTGGTTGTCTTGCAAGAAGCAGGAACTGCTCATCCTTCTGGAACACCTGAGTTCACCCCAAGTTTTTAGGGGTTCGTGCTATTCGTTGATGTGTGCACTTTTCAGTATTTTATGTTATGTGTTGGTTGTCTGTGTCACCGTCGTTTTGGTGTTCTCATTTTTGTTCTTTGTCTTTTTAGCACTTTGTATGTAAATAAGATGTGGTATGAGTGCCAATGAGACAACTCTCCATCCTAGTCACAATCTATTTCAAGTTAACAACTTGAGGTCAAAGTACGACCTTCAATACGGAGCCTTGTCTCAAACCGAACAGCAAGCTATAAATGGCCCCAAAATGACTAGTGTAAAACAAGTCAAACTGGATACCAACAGTATAATCTATATACAAAAATGAGAAACACCTATGAACCACACCAACAGACGACAACTACTAAACAACAGGCCCCCGACTGGCTTAGGACAGGTGCATGAAAATGCAGCGGGTATGAACAGCTTTGCTTCAAATTTGTAAGTCCTTTATTCTAACAACGAAAATCGGCATGATTTTTTGCTTCGCATCACGGTGCGGAGCTATTAGTTTCAGTCGATATACACGCCATCTTGAAATAATTACTAATCACATATAGATTCTGATTGGATGCTTATGATGCGGCTGAGATACAGCAACAGCTATTGGCTTAAATGAGATAAAGAATTACAGACTTTTCTCGTCTCAGGATACCATCAAATGCCGGAAAATTAACTATGTGTATTTCAGTTCCGATCAATTGTCTTTAATTCATGTACATTTTATTATGCATATATTGCACACTGAAATTCAATATTGAAATATCAATTATTAATACGTGTTTCTTTGCTTTGTTAATCTGCAATATGCACGAATTGTTTTGCTAAACAATGTTCCTATACAATGCTTACAAAAATGCATTATCTGTATTTTATAACTTCTGCCAATCTAGGCACACCTTCAGAGAGGCACACCTCCAGAATACTAATTCAACAACCACATGCACACATATAACCTTAAATTAGGATAGAGCGAAGCAGTCCACAGCTTTTTAGAAAGCTCAAACTTGGTGAATAATTGTCCTTGACTTTGATAAGAAATCTGTGTTAATGCTCCAAACAGTTTAAAGGGTCGCGATTTGAAGTTGACTAAAACGCTCTGGCGATCGCTTTTTTTAATGTTTACAAAAATACCGGTGCGGGAAATAGACACGACTACTTTTCCGGATGCGGGAAGCGGGAATATTTAAAAATATTTTTTTTTTCCGTTTAGAAAAAAATATGTGCGGGCGGGTCCGTCGAACAAGGAATTAAATTGGCGTGGCCTAGACAATGAATGATCCTGAAAACAATAATAAAACTTGTAAAGGGAATTGTTACATTTAAAGCCTGTATTAGTACAACCGCTATAGTGCTCTGATGATGATTTAAAATAAAATCTTAGTAAGGGACATAAGTCTTGAAAATCACTGGTTCGTGTTCGTCAACCATTTTCTAAACCGAATAATTCAGTCTTTACATTTCGCTGCTCTCCGATGGCCACATCAGCGAGTGGGATGAATCGATTACGGGTAGGGACTGAATAATTCGGGTTAACTATTTTCCTGAATATATTCTAAGTTTCGAAATAACAAAGAGTTCTGTTGTATGATTCACATAAATGCTAAAAAATCATTCAAATTGACGAAGCTGCCTATTAAAGCGCCTTACTGAATCAAATAGTTGCGTCCTTTAAACTAAGTCAAACTTTTAAGTCTTCAAATGTGTTTCTATTTAAATTTTTTGAGTCAAATTCATATAAAAAGCTGTTTTTTCACATTTTTTTTTCGTATTTAATTTAAACAAGAGTGCGCACGCTGAAATGTCTCGCCTGTTTTACTTATCATTGAATTTATGTTGAAAGTCTGTAACATGACGGTTTAACTACAAGTATCAAATAAACTTACTGTGACTTGACTATGGGTGTTACTGTATAACTTTACCTATAGCTCAACCTGATTTTAAAATTGACAATACAATAGGGACATTTAAATTGACCAGTTGGTATTGTTAGATTTAAATCTACCTTGAATCTATCTGTACAGTTTTTAATTTACCTATTCCAACCTTTCAGCATGCTTTTTTCCTGAAGTTTTTCTTTACCTAGGATTATTCTTTTTAATAAAAATTGATAGGGAAGAAATTATTTTTGGTTTTCATTGTTTTAAATCCCCAATATATATGATTTATCTAATTTTTACCTAAAATTCTAAATCATTAAAAGATTTAATAAATATTTGTTGAAAACGTCTGATTTGATAAAACAAATCACTTTCCCGTGTTTTATATTAGAGAATCCTTAAACAAAGGAAATAAACATTGTCATTACAATATTTTTATCATTGAAATGAGTGTATTCCTAGAAGTAATTGGTCATACAATTGCCAAAGAAACAATATTTAGAAGGGAATAGAGAGATGTTTTATTTTACTGTCATTTAAAATATTAGGAGTGATCAAGCCAAAACAAGAATGTATATATATGTTATTTTCTTGCAGGGTATTTAATTGCATGGCCTATAATGCACTCCATTTCCTCTAGACCGAAATCTTCTGTCCCTATAATGCATATATTTACTAATTTATATTTGCTTTTTATTGATTTTGCTATTTTCTTTTTTTTTTTTTTTTTTTTTTTTTTGCAATATAGAGACAGAAAGCAGTGTCCATTCAAAACAGGAGATTCGCGGACAATTTGTTTGCGCTATTTTTTCGCTTATTTTGTACTTGTCAGACATCCTTACCTGTATACATGTATAAATAAACGGGTTTTCCACATTTTCGTGTGCCTTTCTATGATCAACGACCTTTCTGAGTCTAGATAATCCACTTTTTTCAACATTCAATACATTCTACTTTCATTCTCGGCAAGTTAGACATCTTGAAATAATTTGACCAATCAACGTTGATTTCCGGTAACTAGGATCTTCTACCTTCTGTACGAA